CTAGACTATGCATGATGTACAAAATGACTAATAAACTGGTGGATGTCCCAACTACTAAGTACCTAATACCAGCCCAGAAGAGAACAAGAAATAGCCACGCATTCAAGTACCAGAGTTATCAACCAAGGATTGAGGTGTTCAAGAATTCATTCTTTCCTAGAACTATCGCAGAGTGGAACTCACTGTCACCACGTACAGTAGGGGCATTGTCAATAGATAGCTTTAAACAATGTCTAGAGCTAGAAGTTCAAGGGTTAGGTGTAACAAGTCGATCGGTGTAATATAGCCAGCTGCCGCCGCGCCGCGTGCCTGCGAAGCTGGTGTGTTACGCCGAAAGGCGGTTATACCGGCTATACAGATACAGATTCTCATCATTCACCATACGAAATCATAGAATTTTGCGTTAATTATGCAAATTAGGTCATCATTTGCATAATTAGTATCTGTTGAAGTTCCGCCTGCCATAGGTTACATACATTACATGTATGTAAGTAGTATAATATTGGCTTGTAAACATTTCGCCAGAAAGTGCCCTGCAGTTCCAGAACAAGCCGCTAGGGGGCCCAAACTCATATGACTTCTTCCCAAGCACGAGAGCTACCTTCCATCAAAATTTCATGACCCTAGCATGTCCAGATCGCGAGATATCGTAAACCTGTAATTATTGTATTTCCTCATTAATTATGCAAATAAAGTCCTCATTTGCATAATTTGCATTTAATTATGTACATCTCTCTCTCAGCTACCTACACACCAAAAATAATGAAAATATGTTGTTGCTGTCTGGACTTATTGGCTTTTAAACATTTCGCCAGAAAGTGCCCTGCAGTTCCAGAACAAGCCGCTAGGGGGCCCAAACTCATATGACTTCTTCCCAAGCACGAGAGCTACCTTCCATCAAAATTTCATGACCCTAGCATGTCCAGATCGCGAGATATCAAAACCGGAAGTTGCGCTGCAGTACCAAGGGAAGCCACTAGGGGGACAAAAATCTCATCATTTCCAGTTTTTGTCACACCCTACCAACACACCAAGTATGAAACCAATCCATCCAGGCGTTCTTGAGTTATCTTGTTGACCAACAGACAGACGGACGGACGGACGGACGGACGGACAGATAAACGCAACTGAAAATATAACCTCCATGACACATTTCATGGAGGTAAAGATTGAAGAATACGCATGTTAATTTCTCTAGAACGATGTACCTCTGACGAAGACATGAGATCTCCGACCTCTAGTTATAGATGAAATAATTGACGAGAAAGAGAGGTTCAACTGGATTTTTTGTTTGTTTTCACACGTCTGCACACATCGTCAAATTGTCTAGCCTTAAAACTACCAGTACTTCATTTCCTGTAGAGTATTTTCTGTCTGACTACATTAATAAAGTGTTTCACCTGACCAGCACTCCCTACTCTCGATTATAAAACTGTGCCCCGCAGGCAATATCGAGAGAAAACCGGTCCGACCGGGCCACTCGAAGGCGACACCAGGGCATTATGAAAGCATTATGGCGAGGACGTATCGTGTCGGAAAAGTCACAGTGCACCAAGACTCCGGTCAAACAGACTAACAGCGCTGTTGGGAAACGCCTTCCATTACCAGGTAACGACGGACGCCCTCATCTGTCCGCTGTGGCATCTACGCAGGCGTGATCGAGGTACATGGATCGCGTGTTATTGGTTTGAACGTCGTCATAAACCCTGTACGTCAACTGTGCGTGACCCACTTTTGGGACAGCACATCTCGGCACGCGCGGGAAGGTTCGACTTGCAATTTCCTTAGGTTTGTGCCCGATGCCAAGCGCTGGAAGGACGTGCCATGGGTCATGTTTAAGACAGTAACTACGGAATGCCCGACACAGCACCCGACTTTACCACGATGGCGGGGGAACAGGTGGTAGAACCGGTCTGCAGCCCACGACCACCCCCGGAACTATGCCGTTTGGACTCTTTCAACTCCGAGTTTGAGTCAGAGACAGACTCGCTGAACAACAGTTACGGCAGCGCCATGTCCGGCAGCGGCAATGGCAGCTGGGCCGCCTGGAACCTTCCATTCAGAAGTCCCAGAAAATCTGAGGACGAAGACGGGCCGAAGAAAAGGAGATCGACCTTCTTGAGCAAATGGCTTGACACAACAGGGGGAAAGCTGGAACTGCCCGAGGTAGGTGTACGGCTTGACGTTCCCATGGGAGCCGTGCCCGAGGGCGAGACTATACAGATGTATCTCGGCTTAAGTTGGCACAAGGACTACCGCCCAGTTTTATCGGACTTGGCGGAGTCCCTCCTCAGCCCTACCGTATACTTCGGACCTCACTTCGGCAAGCTGAACTTGCCAGCCACCCTCGTGTTCCCGCACTCAGCTCTTGTGGAAGAAGACGAGGAAGAGGAGGGAGGGTGGAAGTACAGAGTCTGTTATAATGAAGGCATCATCTTTAACACACGAGAGCCTGAGTGGTTTGATACAGTGGAAGGTGAGGAAGAGATCAGGCCTGGTGTGGAGCAGGAAACAGTAAGCATACATACAAGAGTTCCAGGCGCCTATGTCCTGCTGGGAAGAGAGGCGAACGATGAGATCCTGATCTGTAAGCGAGTGAAGATCATCGCGTATCTTCACCTTATCAGGGCCAAAGGCATGGTCAAGGTCAGTTGAACCTTACATAAAACGATTTATTGAACGGCCGATCTATTTAGTGCTTGTGTTGGCAGTTGCAGCTGTTCATTCATTAATTCAAATATTAGAGAACCATTTTCCTTCCTGTATGTGTTAGAGTAGGAATGCTCTTCCTACTTGCTTATTTAGAACTATCGCTAGAGCTATTGCGTGAACTTGAAGTAAACGTAAGGTTTATGTTCATCGTCTGTTAGTCAATTATACACACATACATCTATTGCGCATAGTGTGGTTGTAAGATCGTAAAATGTCATAAAAAGACATTAAGAGCCAACCACTGATAACGACGAGATGTAATGACAACAGTAGCTGTTTGAAAACACCAGCATACCCTGCAAAATACTCTGCGCTGTCGAGAGGGACTCAGAAAGTTGCAATCTAGGAGCGTCTTGTTCTACCCTCGTGTGTATATTGATCTGGTCGCCATTGTTCTCGTGTAGGAGCAAAGCCTTTGTTGTGACGCCATGACAGTGACTATAACAACTACAACGATCCATTGTCAATTGGAAAGGTCATGTGTCACGGTTGGCTCCTTCATAATCTTCATCCTTTGTGTTGAAGCGATCACCGCAGTAGAGATAATCCTTTGTATGGATCTACAAGTTAACAAGATAGGGAACTCCACTGGAAACTAGATTTGTTCTACAGATATAACGTAAAAGGTAGAATAATGAAATTCTCAAGTTGCGCAGTTTTTTTACCTACAGAATTAGTAATGGCGCCAGAAAAATAAACTCCTCCGCACAGAGCCAGTGGGATAAAAGAAAATACCGGTACTTGATGAGGCGTGAATTCTTGCGGTCTTTTCTAGCTAGACATTTGGTTTGGGTAAAACAGGTCCTCAGGTGTCATATTAGCCTGTATATAATAGGTGATATATGCGATTCAACTGAAATGACCTCTCCGCAAAAATGCTAGGCTTCACAAGTGACGATATACTATTAACGTTACTTACCTCAAAATAAGAATTGCTTCACATTGCAAAAAGATTCAAAGCCGTTATATGTCCCTCACTGAGCTTTAACTACCTACGGTTTGTAACCACGCGGTGCAGACTAGTTTATTTGCCGACAGAGCTCATTCTAAAGCCATGCAGCGCTCTCCTGTTAACATTGTATGGATTTTTGTGTTGTTACTTATGTTGTGATAGATGAGTTAGTACAACACGAGGTAGTAGAACCCCGGGTGATCCATTACTGTGTTATCAGCGCAAAAAATCTTTCCGCCTCGTCTATTGAGCACGAGGGACAACCTCACCGTCGTACAATTATATTAGCAGCTTACTCATTCCGGAATTCTCAGCAATATTTACTCACAATCTCTTCAATTATCTCTCCACAGGTCAAAGTGTACTGCACCGATGACGTCCCGGGAGTCGTGCAGGTAAGGCTGATTGATTTAGAGAAGCATGATTGGTTGATATAATAATGTACTTGATAACTCGACATCATTCATCATTTCTTAAAAAATGACACCTCAAGGGTTTGTCGCTATCGAGTCCCTCACGCCTGTGCTGGTTGTCCGGACAGCAGCAGCTTGTCTTGGTTTGCTTGATTGGATATCACGACTCCTGACAGGGGAGACTGATCGTCTCATCTGGGTCCTGTTTGAGATGTAATTGTGCCTGGATGAGATTAAATTGTCAGCGCCAGTACTCGTGATGGACAGACAATTGCAGATAATTGGATCGAAATGTAGAGGCACAAAAAGAAACGACCGACATGACCGAAGGGACTAAAAGATAGGGACTAGCTAGGGACGGGGTAGGGATGTGAAGAATAAGAACTGAAGGGTCAGTAAAATATCAGGTGACACGTGTTAACCATAGAAGGTCTTAAAATGGCTTTCCTATAACAGATGATACCACAGGGTCCTTAATACGCCACGCTGACTAGACCATATAAGATTACACAAATCTTACATAAAACTGTAATACAAAGATTCTTTATTGACACAACAAAAAAGTACAGAGACTTTTGTATGGTCTTCTACAACTTAACTAAAGATCTAACAAAGCTAAATACATGTGTGGATAACGTCATCTTACGTACAGAGTATATGTATGATGTCACAATAAAGGTTAACTATTCTCTAACATTTGTTCTCTAAGATCAAAACATTCTTTAATGTATTTTCCTATTTGAACACTGTATTGGTTATCTCCCCTTAGAATGTAGTTGCATTTATCTATAGGATCTAATATATTGAAATCAATTGAACAAGCGGAAAGAAAGGTGAACAGCAATCGGCGCTTATCATTGTATAGTGTACAATCCATTATAAATTACAGATCGAAATTGGTAGGTATAACCAGACTCCCGCAAGTAACAGAATTTGCACTTTATGTAACAGTAACTGTGTAGAGGATGAAGCACACTTTGTCTTAGAATGCCCGTTATACAATGATATGCGGAAATCCTTTATCAATTCCTTAGAGTTAGAGAAGAAATATACATACTTGTCAAAAGCAGAACTGTTCAAATATATTATGACATCCAGGCACTACGATGTAAATGAAAAGCTATGCAAATTTGTTCATACATGTTTCAAAAAGAGAGAGGAGACCATGTAGATAGATCCTGTAGTTAGAGACGTAGCACAGAAGTATAACACTTGTTACTTCTATACCTGTACCTGTAGTTATAGCACAGAAGTATAACACTTGTTTCTTCTATACCTGTACCTATAGTTATAACACAGAAGTGTAACACTTGCTTCCTCTATACCTGTACCTATAGTTATCCAGCTTAGTGCATTTGGCCCATGCAGGGCGTGAATATGCAATAAAGTTCATAAAGTTCATTATAAAATGGTGCTCATTTTCGATCAAGTTTGGAAGTCCGAACATAGCGTCCGAGCTAGTTGGCACTGTTATATTATGCACAAGAAATGTGTGTGCGCTGTAGTGGCCACCATCCCATTCCATCATTACATGATTTGCTGTGCATGTACCGGAAACTTCTCCCTCAACTTATTACCTCCATGAAAAATGGAGGTATTGTTTTTGGCGTGTCTGTCTGTATGTCTGTCTGTGTGTGTGTCTGTCTGTGTGTGTGTCTGTGTGTGTGTCTGTGTGTGTTTCCGCAACTTTGTAGTCAGCATAACTTCAGAACGCCTTTATGGATTGTGATGATATTTGGTATGATGGTAAGTCTTGGAAAGACAAAGGTCAAGGTCAAGTATGGGCCTCCTGGTCGATGACCTTGGTACTGCAGCAGAACTTCCGGTTTTTGTATCTTTTGTCCTGAACAAGCTATGGTCTTGACTTTTTGGTGACAGATAGCTTATCTTGTCAGGAATAAGTAGTGTGAGTTTGGTCCCCCTAGCAGCTTGTTCTGGAACTGCAGGGCACTTTCTGGTAAAAACTTTCAAAGCCAATAAGTCCAGATTGGAACAACGTACTAGTATTTTCATCATTTTTGTACCTGAGAGACAGTTGTACATGATTAAATGCAAATTATGCAAATGAGGACTTAATTTGCATAATTAATGAGGAAATTTTATAATTACAGTGTTTCATATAATGGTACTGCTATACATGTAATTTATTTAATCTGTGGCAGGCGGAACATCAACAGATATCAATTATGCAAATGGTGACCTAATTTGCATAATTTATGTGAAAATTCTGTGAATCCTTATTGGTGAATGATGGGAATTTTATACCTCGTAACATGTGTAACTTACTTAAAGGTATGCATCGCTATGCATATAATATGTTAATGTAGAGGTATTTGCATAATTAATGAGGACAAAGTAAGCCCATATTTCATGGAGGTATGAGATCTCGGAACTCTTGTTTCTGATGTAGTCGAACATGCAATGAATGAAGGATATATCGTTTTTGCTGAGCATACCAGTTATTATTGTGTAAAAGACAAACCCGACAGTCTACGGACTGTGCAGCAGTAATTCAACCAACGATTTGGCGGTCCACTGGGAAATCATGTACCTCCGTGGTAATATTGTGTCCTCCGTCCGCACATTTATCTAGTCTAGTGTGTGGTAAGTCGGCACGTCTTTGAATAAGGAAACCATATTACAAAATAAAAGTCATCATTGAAATGTTTAAAGAAAGACAGCCAAAGTTAATTATTACATAGTATGGAAGCAAGCACCATCACAGTGATCTGTCAGAGGTAACGGTAGATACTTTTCTGGCATAGAATATCATGCAGTACCGTGCATATTCATGCAATAATAGGGAATTTTTCTGACTCAACAGTTGTGTACTTTGTTTTCAGGTGTTAGAAAAGAAGGAAGCGACACGTGGAACGCTGGTTTCCATGACAACCGCCGATTCCGCCTTCTACAACGACGGGTCCGAGCTGCGCGTGCGCATTAGGCACAACCTGAAACATGTAGAAGAGCATAACCCTACCAAACTGAAAAAGGTGAAACCCCTTTTTTCTCTACAGTTCGGCATAAGCCCTACCGGACAGGACCTTCGACCTGTCACCTGACGCAGACTCAATCATAGGAATGTCGAGCGTTTTCTTGGCTTTTCTAATTGAGGACATTTCTCTGACAAAACCAATTGTTTGGTAAATCAGCTACACACACTGATCGTATTAGACGGTCGACCTCGACAAGTAACGGTACGTTCTGGGCGGACAGATATTGGTTGACCCGAGGAAGCGATCAATTCTGTCCCTCACGTTACCTTGTTAAAGTTAGAATTCTAACATCGTACACCGTCTGGATGAAATATATGTCTCATCTGAAGGAAAATATAACCTCCTCTCCGTCTCAGAACTACACTTTGTTCTGTGTAAAACATACATCACAAGACAGCACTTATCCCCCTTGGCTGTTAGCCATAATTCCGACGCCGCATGCTCAAAGAATACGTGTTTATCGACCCCCCCCGCCCTCTCTCTTTCAAATTTATGGGATTATAAAGGAAGACGAACGTACTCTTATAGATTTTGATACACTCCCGGCTGATAGTGATGTCTTAATGTATTTTCCCTTGAAGATGGCTCAGTCGATTCTGATACATACTAGTTTGTATAAATCGATTTTAATGTGGTGGAAGTGCGTTTCCCCACGCGACTGTTTGATCATGAAGTGTCTGGATATCAGCAGTATGATGTGTATCGACCCGGCGGTATTCCATGCCGTAAATGATAGATGTCTCCTGGCACCACACACACACGGACATCCTCTCATCTCTCCCCGCAGCTTTCCTCACATCTCCAGTCTTCACGTTTGTGAAGTGCGGTTGTTTCGGAACTCTTCCCGATGGGCCAATACCGATACATGTGTCAATACTGCAACCCGCAATGTCAAACAGGCAGGTTGAAAGAGACAAAGGAAAGTGACAAATGATTATGAAGACAGATTTATTGTTGAAGTAGCAGTCAAAGAGTTCATTCAAGTAGATGATCAACCTTGGCGATGTAGGCTGGGCCCCGGGGTGGGTATGAAACTGTAGTCTATTATTCCATTTCAATCTACCGGAATTCGGGAGGTAGAACGTGATAATTGTTTTGTGAAACCTTGTTCTCACTTGAGTCTTTTGAACTTTAATTTTGAGTCTCGCGCACATATTTGTGTCCTCTAACAAGCAATGAATAAAGAACACAATGTGATACAG